TGAGGTGGTCTCAGATGGAGATGAGGAACTTGTTGGAAACTGAGCAAAGGTGACTCTTGTTATGTTTTAGCAAAAAGACTGGCAGCATTTTGCCACTGCTCTAGAGGTTTGTGAAACTTTGAACTTGAGAGAGATGATATAGCGTATATGGTCGAAGAAATTTTTAAGCAGCAAGGCATTCAAGAGGTGACTTGGGTGCATTCAGTTTTATAAGGGAAAGAGAGAATAAAAGTTCAGAAAATGTGCAGGCTGACCATGCAATAGAAAGTAAAATCACATTTTCTGAGGAGAAATTCAAGTGGGCTGCAGAAATTTCTGCAAGTAATGAGGAGCCTGATGTTAATCACCAAGACAATGAGGAAAATTTCTCCAGGGAATGTCAGAGACCTTTGTGGCAGTCCCTCCCACCACAGGCCCAGAGGTTTAGAAGGAAAAAATGGTTTTGCGGGCTGGGTCCAGGGTCCCTCTGCTATGTAGTCTAAGGACTTGGTGCCCTGCTTCCCAGCCACTGCAGTTCTAACTAAAAGGGGCCAAGATACAAGATACAGGCTGTTGATTCAGAGGGTGTAAGCCTCAAGCCTTGGCAGCCTCCATGTGGTGTTGAGTTTGCAGGTGCACAGAAGTCAAGAATTGGGGTTTGGGAACCTCCACCTAGATTGCAGAAGATGTATGGAAATGCCTGGATTCCAGGCAGAAGTTTGCTCCAGGTGCAGGGCCCCCATGGAGAACCTCTGCCAGAGCAGTGCAGAAGGGAAATGTGGGGGTCAAACAGAGTCCCTACTGCAGCACCATCTACTGGAGCTGTGAGAAGAGGGCCACTGTCCTCCAGACCCCAGAATGGTGTATCTACTGAGAGCTTGCACCATGCACCTGGAAAAGCAACAGACAATGTCAGCCTGTGAAGGCAGCTGGGAGGAAGACTGTACCCTGCAAAGCCACAGAGGCAGAGCTGCCTGAGACCACGGGAACCCACTTCTTGCATCAGTATGTCCCAGATGAGAGAGATGGAGTCAAAGGAAATCATTTTGGAGCTTTAAGATTTGACTGCCTCACTGGATTTCAGACTTGCATGGGGCCTATAGCCCCTTCGTTTTGGCCCATTTCGAATGGCCGTATTTACCCAATGCCTGTACCCACATTGTATCTAGGAAGTAATTAACTTGCTTTTGATTTTACAGGCTCATAGGCAGAAGGGACTTGCCTCGTCTCAGATGAGATGTTGGACTGTGGATTTTTGAATTAATGCTGAAATGAGTTAAGACTTTGGGGTATTGTTAGGAAGGCATGATTGGTTTTGAAATGTGAGGACATTAGATTTTGGAGGGTCCAGGGGTAAAATAATACGGTTTGGCTGTGTCCCCACCTAAATCTTATTTTGAATTCCCATGTGTTGTAAGAGGGACCCAGTGGGAGGTAACTGAATCATGGGGACAAGTCTTTCTCATGCTGTTCTTGTGATAGTAAGTCTCATGAGATCTGATGGCTTTATAAAGAGGAGCTCCCCTGCACAATCTCTCTCTCTTTGGCTACTGTCATCCATTTAAGATGTTACTTGCTCTTCCTTGCCTTCCACCATGATTGTGAGGCTTCCCCAGCCATGTGGAACTGTAAGTCCAATTAAAACTCTTTCTTTTGTAAATTGGCTGGTCTCAGGTATGTCTTTATCAGCAGCATGAAAACAGACTAATACACTGGGTTACTGCTTCTTCTAATCTCAACAAGTATAAGAACACAGAGTAATAACTAATCTCAAGGCATTCACTGACCCAGATTGTGACAGACATATAAAAAGCTGGAGCTTTTAAACCATTTGATTAGTGCTGTCCATAGTTAGTTATGACAGAAGCAAATGTTGTATGCATCTCCTTTTTTTTCTTCTACCACCCTCACTGTCTGACAGTAGCCAAACCAACTTACTGCAGAAGTCACAGTGATCTGTCACATCCTAAAGTGAAAGGGGTAGGAGGGTTGGAAACTCATCTTCCTCTCCCTAATATAATGTCAAAATCATCCAAAATTACTTATTGGCTCACTGTCATGGGGGATATTTAAAATGCTACTTTGGTAGATTCCCAAAGTATTACATCACCTCTTGAATTGACAATATATTGGCAGAATAAAAGGTAAGTACAGAGTAGAAGTGAAAGTCCCAAGTAGTTAATGTTTTGAGCTGTATTCTTTACCTAGGAAACCTCATACATTCCCCTGATTTAACTACCACCTATATGCTGATCATACCCAAATCTATCAATCAATGTAGACCTCTAAACTCCAGACTTATCATTCCAACTACTCAGTGAACATCTTTACCTGAATTTCCCTTAGACGACTCAAACTAAATAGGCCTAAATTTGAACTTACTACCTTTTCCCAAACCCGGCTGTTTCTTCCTTCCCCATTAGCATCTACCTTCTCACCCAAACCAGAAACCTAAAAGCCATCTTTGACTTTTCCTTCATCTTTACTCCTAAATCTCATCAATCACAAGTACTAACACTTTCCTCAGTCCTTTATAACCCACTGTTATTGCCAGGATCTGAACATCACTTGCTTGGACTATGACAGTGACCTTCTAACTGATCTCTCTCCACCAGTCTTGGCCCCTTTAAATCTATTCTCTACACTTCTGCCAGGATAATGTTTCTCAAATTTAAATCTAATTTGGTCTCTTAAAACTCTTCATGGCTCCCCACTGCTTATAGTCAGCATGGTGTATAAAGCCCTTCAGGAGATTCAGCAGGCAGTCTATTTACCTCCCTGGTTTTCTCTCTCGTCCCTTCCACCTTGTTACTCTATTGCACTGTGCATTCCAGCATTCATTAATGACTTGTAATTATAGAGATGCATCAAGTAGATTTTTGCATCCACACCTTTGCATGTCCTATGTCCTACAATTATCTATACCTTCATCTCTACTTGTTCTGCCCCATGACTGCCTGCTGAACTCCTTCCTCTATATCATCTAAAATCCTACTTGTAGGTCATCTCCCCCAATTCTAGACAAATTTAATCACCTCCTTTTCTGTATTGCTTCCTCTATCATAATACTTATCTTTTCCTATATTATTATGCATGTATGTAAAATATAAAGTAGCATATCAAAACCCTTACACCTTATTATAAATACTTATTTACATTTCTGTCTCCCCTGGATTGTCACTCATTAAGGGCAGAGACCATCTGATAGTCAATTTTATAAGCCTGATGCCTACCATAGCATCTGGCACACTTAAACTCAATAAGTACTGGCTATTCTTAAAGATGATTCTAAAATTTATTCAACTACTTCCCCCAAAAATTGACAACCACTACACTCAAACTTGTGATTTATCCTGCAAAAATCACATAAACTGATAATATCAACATAAGTATATCTTTGTCATATAGTCAGTCTGAAATTGGGATGGTTGAAATATCCTTATTCTTTGTAAGTCTTGTGTTGGTGCTTTTAGAAATCCAAAGGTCTTCATTCAGAATAAATTTCAAAAACTATTTGTATAGCTCAAAACACCACAATTTCTTAGTACTATTAGATCCTTTCTGTGGGGAGGTTATATAGAAAGGCTATAACTGGCCAGTGGCATTGCCATAAGAGCTGTGACACACACACACACACACACACACAATTTACATACATGTCCTATTTACTCCCTCAAGGAGATAGGAATAAGATCTGTGTCTTTTTCTTTATTTTCCTGCACCATTCTTCATACATACACTGTATGCTCAATAGATATGCAATCCCATCTTTAATAATAATGGTGAAGTTGACAGTGAGCCTGTAATAGTGGACAGAATACTAAACAGGACTAGTACCTCTGACAAGCTGTGATTAAATGTAAAAAAGAAAAGTCCCGCTCCACAGCCAGGCACCATGGCTCACACCTTTAATCCCAGCCCTTTGGGAGGCCGAGGTAGGTAGATCACCTGAGGTCAGGAGTTCAAGACCAGCCTGGCCAACATAGCGAGACCCTGTCTCTACTACAAAATACAAAAANCCTCTGACAAGCTGTGATTAAATGTAAAAAAGAAAAGTCCCGCTCCACAGCCAGGCACCATGGCTCACACCTTTAATCCCAGCCCTTTGGGAGGCTGAGGTGGGAGGGTTGCCTGGGGCCAGGAGTTTGAGACCAACCTGGGCAATACAGCAAGACCTCAACTTGACAAAAAAAAAAAAAAAAAAATCCAGGTGTGGTGGTACACTCCTGTAATCCCAGCTACTTGGGAGGCTGAGGCAGCATTGCTTGAACCCAGGAGATAGAGGATGCAGTGACCCAAGATAGCACCACTGCACTCCAGCCTGCGCAATGGAGCAAGACTCCATCTCATAAAAAAAAAAAAGTCCTTCTCTTGACATATAGTATCTATATATAAGAAGTAACATGAGGAGAAAATAACAATTTTCAGGATCTATTACGTGTCAGATGCTGATCTGGATGCTTGTTGTGTTGTATCTAAATTATCATAAAATCTCAATGAGATAGGATCATTATTGTTTCCATTTTACAGGTAAGGGAACTAACTCAGAATAATTTGCCTAAGAACACACATCTCATAAGTGGCAGAGTCGGCATCTGTACCAGGTGATAAGTCTACATTCTCAACTAGTGTTCTACATGTCACATTCTAAAGAAGAAATTTAAAAACTGATAACCAAAATTTTATACACCTATTCCCACTGATCTTCAATTACATAACAGAAGGAAAACTTTTTAAAATTATAGTTTAATAGTTTTGCAGAGTAAAAGCAGTGATTTCAAGTTCACGACTGCCCCCAGCCCAATCCAGTCTCTATTTTATATGAGCTATGTTTTCTTACTTTATTTACTCCTTAGAACATCAGTTCTTGCATCTGTGAAATAAAGAAAATACTCACCATTTTACAGTGTGACTACGAAGATGATACATGTAAAATACAAAGATTTGATAAACACCAATGCTTGTAAATTAATGGCAATAAAAGCTAACAAAAAACCTGTGAAAACAGAAAGTATACTTACAGAAGCCAGTAATCTTCCATCTTCCTTCATAGCAAGGTAACGGTTAGCACACACTCCTTTGATAGACACAACTCCTCTCTCTTCTGCTTGAAGTTGTAGTTTGACTGTAACAGGAAAAAATTATCTTTGTAGCACCACAAAGGAGAAAGTCTTCTCTATAACATTTATGTAATATAAAGACAAAACACGCCTGAGCAACAACTAATCCACTTTGGAGGATTGGTGAGGTTGGGAGTATAGGCAACAGGGAACAGATGTCAACTAAACTGTATGAGAGGATGAGATGCAGAACTACTAGGGCACCAGTGCCTTGTCAGTCCCTTGTCACTCCTATGTCACAGGGTGAACAGAGAAGGGGGACAGATGGAGAATTTTGTTTCCTTGGTTGGGCAATTAGCTTTCAATTGGCCCTGTTAACTGTTTACCTTTTTTTAAGTGAACATACTTTAAGGGTACATAAAAGTGTAGACCATGTGAGAATTCCCATGCTACTGCCTATGTTTAAACTCTTTAATTAAAAGTTATTTGCCAATTCTTCACAAATAAAACACAATCTAATTGTTCACTGTTATAAATTGAGCTGTATTTCCTTGACTTCTATACATCTTATTTCTAGTTTCCTCTTCAATGAAATACAGATGCATTTAACTTTCTATATGAGATTTTGATGTCTATTTCTTTTTGTGTGCAAATATTTATCTAGTGGAGACACAAAATGCTTATACTTAATTTGCTTATACAGCAAATGATTTTCATAAAATGTGTGAGGAAAGATTTTCATAAAATAAGATCCTGACAAAGATGACTTGTTATACTACATTATCAATATTAAGCAGATTATAAAAAAACAAAACAAAGATATTACTTGATTATGATAATATAATATGGACAAATAATTACCTAATTAACTGAAATAAAAATAAAGATTATTTTGCTATTCAGCGGCAGCAGCATTCTCTTGCCTAGAACAACATTCCTCCAAATGTATTTTGGCTAACAGATGTTACATAAAAAACAGGTTCTGGGATCAAATCATTAGGAAAATCTTAGTTAAGCTAAGTTAACTCTTTATTACCAAACTTCTCAGAACTCTGCTTATCATAAGATAAGCAAGATAAATGTTTGTCCAGCGTATTTTCATAGGTCATCCTATATCCTATGGATATGTTTGGGATATTCTTGAAAGCAACAGGAAAAAAATACAGTTTTAGAAAGCAGCATATTATCATTTGAATAACATTGGAAATATATAATAAATGTAATTTCCCAGGTAAGTTTCTAGGTAGCTAGAAAAACAGCATGAAAAATCAACTTTTGAAAGTTTCTGAAATAATTAACTTCATTAGATATTATTGTGTCACAGTAATTATGTTTTAATATTTTTCCTATCAAAATAGCAACAGACAAGCAGAATGAAACATAATATCTAGGATTAGCTTTAAAATAATCTGGCAAATAAATAAATTTTTAATAAAGTGGATAAGATAAATAAGAATGACTTGTGTTAATAGTTATTAGAAGCACAGGATTCCATTATTCTAATCTCACTACTTTTATGAATGTTTAAGAATTTACAATTTAAAAACAGACATCTTAGAATTTTGTCGAGCATTTCACGTCTGAGTATCCTCTGCATGTTAGTCACCCCTGGATTCCAGAAAGCATTGCATCAGTTAAGCCTGCAGTTACCCAGGTGAAATTTTTCTACAAAATCTTAAAAGATAAAACAAAGTAAAAGGAATGTAATGAAGACAAGAAACCCAAACAAAGAAGAGTACCTAGTCTTTTTTACAACATTATTGGAAAATGCAGAAAATAAGCTTTGTTTTTAATAACATAACCAAAATTATCTTGAGTTTGAGCAAATCATTGTATATAGCTCTAAAGTAATTTAGATAAGCCATTTTAATGAAGAATACATTTGCATCTCACTTTAACTCATAAGGTTGTACAAAGGTCCATGAGGCAAGGCTGCATAATCAATTGCTATACTTTCTTTCTGTCCCTTATCAATAAACTCTAGCCCAGCTCTAATAGCCCATCATCTTATAAATGTGTATTACTGCTCATAAGGGTGATTATGAATATTCATGTATGGCCAGATCAGTACCAGTGACTCAATAACCAAAGTAAATATCATTCATTTACTCATTAACCTTTTGTAGACCTCAACTATTCCACATTCAGAGACTGTCATTCATTATACCACTAGGCAAATAAGAATTAAATGTAGATTTTTGCAAAGCATTTCCATTGACATATATTTAAAATAGAAGCTTTAAAAATAACCAAAGCCTACAACAAGAAGTTGTGTAAGTCACAAAATCATAGATTTTCTATAAAAACTATCTGAGCTGAGATGAATAGAAAAACCCAAATAAATTAAATTCAAAATACAGATGATCTCGTCACAAAAAAAGAGATGCATAGCTGCTCCATCTCTGATAGGAGGAATAAACTTGCCAAAAAATGGAACTATGAAGTTGAATTTTTAAGAAGATTTTTAAGAAACAGCTGAATTTTTAAGAAACTTTTATTAGTTGCTAATATGAGGAATTAGAATTCCTGATCAAAGAGTAACTGCATATTCACCTGCCAGTTCTTTCCTATGGAGCTTCCACCCAGTGCACAAGTACCATACACCAAAGACTAGGAACAGAACAGAAGGGCTGAGAGATCCTCCTCAAGTACCCTGGGCCTTTGCAGAATGCAAGGCAGCAGTCCACTGAAGGCTAGGAGCAGGACAAAGCGCTGAAGGTGATCCTTCTGAGAAGCACTGAGCCTTCACCAAATGCAAAGCTAAGGACCAGCTGGATAAAAAGAGATCTTCCAAGACGTGGAAAGCCAGGAGCAGAGTTCAAGAGCAAAGTTAACTCCCCACCAACCCAAACATTTGGCAGCTGAATTATAAAGGCAAATGGAATATTTCAAAACTACTCAATTAGCCCAAGAAGGCAGAAAAGGAAAAAACAGAAGGTAAAGGACAGATAGGATAATTAGAAAAACAGCAAACTGTGAATTTGATCCTGTCGTCATGCTGCTATTTGGTTATTTTGCATACTGGTTGATGCAGTTTCTTCATAGTGCCATTGGTCTTTATATTTTGGTGTGTTTTTACAGTGGTTGGTGCCGGCTGGCTTTTCCTTTCCATATTTAGTGCTGCTTTCAGTTCTTGTAAGGCAGGCTTGGTGGTGACAAAATCCCTTAGCATTTGCCTGTCTGGAAAGGATTTTATTCCTTCTTCACTTACAAAGTTTAGTTTGGCTGGATATGAAATTCTGGGTTGAAATTTTTTTTCTTCAAGAATGTTGAGTATTAGCCCCCAGTCTCTTCTGGCTTTGTAGAGTTTCTCCTGAGAGGTCTGCTGTTAGTCTGATGGGCTTCCCTTTGTAGGTGACCTGGCCTTTCTGGCTGCCCTTAACAGTTTTTCCTTCATTTCAACCTTGGAGAATCTGATGATTATGTGTCTTGGGGTTGATTTTCTTGTAGAGTATCTTAGTGGTATCCTCTGTATTTCCTGAATTGACATGTTGGCCTGTCTTGCTAGGTTGAGGAATTTCTCCTGGATAATATCCTGAAGTGGGTTTTCCAGCTTGTTTCCATTCTCCCCAATCTGGAACTCCAATCATAGGTTTGGTCTTTTTATGAAGTCCAATATTTCTTGGAGGCTTTGTTCATTCCTTTACATTCTTTTTTCTCCAGTCTTGTCTGCATGTCTTGTTTCAGCAAGGTGGTCTTCAAATTCTGATAACCTTTCTTCCGCTTGGTCAATTTGGCTGTTGATACTTGTGTATGCTTTACGAAGTTCTCCTGCTGTGTTTTCCAGCTCCATCAGGTGGTTTATGTTCTTCTCTAAACTGGTTATTCTAGTTAGCAACCTTTATCTAACCTTTTATCAAGGTTCTTAGCTTCTTTGCATTGGGTTAGAACATGCTCCTTTTAGTTCAGTGTAGTTTTTTATTGCCCATCTTCTGAAGTATACATCTGTCAATTCATCCATCTGATCCTCCGTACAGCTCTACACCCTTGATGGAGACACGCTGCAATCATTTGGAGAAGAGGCACTCTGGGATTTTGGGTTTTCGGCATTTTTTCAATGATTCTTTCTCATCTTTGTGAGTTTGTCTAGTTTTGCTCTTTGAGGCTGCTGACCCTCGGATGGGGTTTTTATGGGGGCTTTTTTGTTGTTGTTGATGCCATTATTATAGCTTTTTGCTTGCGTGTTTTTCCTTCAGTGGTCAGGTCACTCTTCTGTAGGGCTGCTGCAGTTTGCTGGGAGTTAACTTCAGGCCCTATTCATCTGATTTGCTCCAGCGCCTGGAAATGTCACTTGAGGAGGCTGGAGAACAGCAAAGATGGGTGCCTCCTTCTTCTGTGGCCTCTAACCTCGAGAAGCACCGTCCTGATGCCAGTAGGATCATTCCTATATAGGGTGTCTGACAAACCCTATTGAAGGGTCTCACCCAGTTGGGTGGCACAGGTAATAGGACCTATTTAATGAAGCACGTTGTCTCTTGGTGGATAGGGTGTGCCTCTTAGAGATCTACAGAGAGACTTAGCCTCCCATGAAATAATAGTGGAAGACTTTAACACCCCACTTTAACACCCCACTGTCAGATCAACAAGACAGAAAATTAACAAGGATATTCAGGATTTGAACTCAGCTCTGGATCAAGTGGACCTAGCAGATGTCTACAGACTCTACCCTAAATCAACAGAATATACATTCTTCTTAGTGCCACATGGCACTTATTCTAAAATCAACCACATATTTGGAAGTAAAACACTCCTCAGAAAATGCAAAAGAACTGAAATCATAACAAACGGTCTCTCAAAACACAGTGCAATCAAATTAGAACACAGGATTAAGAAACTCACTCAAAAAAAAACCCGCACAATTACATAGAAATTGAACAATCTGCTCCTGAAGGACTCCTGGGTAAATAACAAAATTATGGCAGAAATGAAGAAGTTCTTTGAAACCAACGAGAACAAAGAGACAATGTACCAGAATCTCTGGGACACAGCTAAAGCAGTGTTAAGAGGGAAATTTATAGTACCAAATGTCCACATCAGAAAGCTTGAAAGATCTCAAATCAACACC